CCAGCCACGAAATTACGTTGGCTTTTTTGTTCGAGGCCATCCTTAAATTAGGAGCCAATTGGTCCGCGCGCGATCGGTGCCCCGCTGATACTCTCGCTGTTCCTCCGCCGAAGAAAATTGGATTTCGTGCCTCGGTGTCCGGTCTCGGGGACGAAATCGCGGTAAGATTGATGAGCATCGTCGCCATAGGAAGCTCTAAGGAAATTTTTTCGAATCGTGTCCGCGGGAGGGGCGGACGCGCGAGTCCTTCGCGCCGGCCACGCTTTCTTGCCTGCTTCCCGCCGCTTCTCGACGCTTTTGCTTTCGTCCTCCGATGAAAACGCATCTTCGTGCTTTGTGCGTTCTTTTTGTTTCCTTTGCCGACATTAGCTTCTCACACTCTTCCCTCTTTCTGTCTACTTGAGACCGGTACCGTCTGTACGTTTTATGGTTTTATGATTTTCGAACATTTTTCTGCCATCTGGTATTAAGTTTCAGCAATGCTACTTTAAAATATGTAGGATATATATTCCGTATAATTGTCGTATTAATTAGAACGTATTATAGTTATAGGGTTATGATTAAAAGGATTTCGTTCTTCATTATCGTTGTAGGATAATTTTTTAGGTAATGCAATGACATTTGTACGTGTTAAGGTTCATGGAGTTGCCCTGTTATGGTGTAGATCTCTTATCTATCAGGTTATCGATAATTATCAGTGTGAGTGAATGTACATTTACTTAGAGAGATAAAAAGTACTATGATCTTAATAAACTCATCCCTGACAAGGTTATTTTATGGGAAAACTTCTTCTAAGACTTCTAAGTACTTCTTTTATACATTCGATGTTGTTGATATGTTTTCTGTCAATTTAGAAGAATACATTATCGATATATATTTTAATCAATATCTGAGATAATATAATAATCTTTCAAGAGAGTGAAATAAATATTGTTTCAGTCGTTCATCGTTGATTTAGATACTCCAGTAGCGTTGTTAATAATTTCTTCGAGAGGTGCAGCAAAATATTCTCTCCACCCAACGAAGAGGAGGTAAAAGGATGAAACGGAGCGCGTATGCATCAGTCAAGGCTAGATCCAGGAGAAATGTCTCAATTCGCTGGTTTTCGGTCTTGTACGGATGCGTTCCGCCATTTTCACGGATGCCATCGGGTGTAAAGACCGATTCCCGTGACTATAAATAAGCAAAAGCACGTGTCGGCGTCGTCGCGATCCTCACCTATTATTAGTGGCAATTAATGAGATACGCTTTCCACGGGGAATGTATCCGTGGTAACGCGCGTTCGCCTCGCCTATCTCGCCGTGGAAACTTCCTACCATCCTAATTGCACCCGCTTATGCTCCCGTCAAAGTGTATTCTCGACGTCGCGCGTCGGTCTCTCGCCTCCGGTCACCTTTCGTTTTCTGTCACCTTTTCGAGCGAGCTATCATGCAGAATTAGGTGACGAGGCAAATATCGCACACGTATTTCAAAGATGACGTAACTCAAACAAGCTTTCCGAGAAAAGCGGAAAACCGTTTGAACTGTTTGAGTTTGAATAAAGACGCGTGTAATTTTTATTTCCGACTTGAAGATTTCTTTCTTTCTTTCCTCAAAAGCAATTTGAGAAAAGTGACTCGAACCATCTTGCAATTTTGATTGTTCTTCGTCAACAAAGTACCGTTAAGATTCTGTTACAAACCGCCACTCTGTGTGTCCTTTATTTTTTTAGCCAAATCCAATCGGAATCGTGGCATGGTCGAAGAATGGATTTCTAACCACACTCGTTGTAAGAAAATTTGTTAAATCGCATAAGAACCCTGTTCTTCCCTAAACGTCAGCGTGATATCTGGCAAAACGGAAGGAAAGATAAATGGTTTCTGCATGACACTCACGGAAAAGATATTTCGTAAGAACCAGGGAGAAGGGAAAACATTAACAAAAATTTGGCAAACAGATTTTTAATCGCGTCGAATAATGTGATATGAAGTTTCAGGAATACTGTAAAATATGTGCATGTTGTCCACAGTACGATATCGTCCTGAATTTCAATCCGAATGCCCGGAAAGACGATCTACACTCTGAACAGTGTTGTTAGTAAATACTTGTGTAAATATTGGACAAATTTGACGACAGCGTTAATAAGATTATGTCGAAAGTTTAGCCAATACGCAGACCTGAGTGCCAACATTTCGCTTAGTCCTATGCTAATATAGTCTCGGTTGAACACCAGGGGTTTATCTGTTATTCGTGGTTAATCCCATAATCCCTGATGCTTGTTATATGACCGCACCCTGCGAGTGTCCATTAACTAGTGTCATGGGGTAGCAATATAAATGACTTACTGCAACAAACTTTGGTCGCAAAGGGATTCTCTTTATTCTTTTTGTTAAAACTATGTTTCATGTATACTATTGAAAAATCGCTGATACATATAGTACGCAGCTATTTTACAAGCTGGTCTATTGTAAAACTGTCAAATTTGTATCTCACCATGCCCACCTAATGGAGACAACTCTTTTTCCAAAATTCCCTTTGCCGATGGATAATCGTCTCATGACTTCCAGTCCTGACTTTCTTTCCTTTCGTTGCTTCTGAAAATTGTTTACTTCGGTTGCGACATAAATTAGGAGAAGATTTATGATTTTCAGACTTGTCACTTAATTTTTTGTAACGAAACGTTTAGTTGTTTAAGTAAAACATGCAAATGAAAAGAGAAAAAGTATCTATACTGTAGTTTGGAATTTAACATCTGTTTCTTATTGTTTGAATTCTTTTTTTTTTTTCTTTAGAAGGCTACATCCTAATGTGATACAGAAGATAATTAAATTTGCGTTTTCTTCTTCACGTATTTGTGAATTTGTTTACATCCTTAATAGTTAAATGGAAACGAGTTTACTGGTCATCTAAGGGTACCTGTATATTGTATATACATATAATATTCACTGAATCACCATACTATAATTAGGAAATGGACTTTCAATAGAATCATCCACAATCGATAACAATCAGACAAAGGAATTAAATTAAGAAAAGTAAATTACATATTTATTTTAAAAATAGTAATTTAAATTGTATTTCTATATTGAACAGGATTGTATCTTCATAAATTATCTTCCCCGACTATCGAGTGCCGGATTATCAAGATTCTGCTGTATTCAAAATATTGCTTACATCCGTACTCAAAAGAATGGACAAGCATGCAGTCGCTTTCACAATTTCTACAATAGTTTATGAGTACCATAAACAGCTTTAACATCGTCATGTTAGTTCATAATACAAATGGTCAGTATATTTGACTATGTGACAAATAATCCCCTAACCTATGATTTAAAAAAAAAAGTAAACTAACTGATAAAAATTTTTTTTTTTATTTTTCCTTTTTTTTAAACTTTTCCATCGAGACAACGATCTACAGTGAGATCCGTTATAACGTACCGCACGCGTACCGAGCGAAAATTTAAAGTCGATTTTCTCGAAAACAAAGCCTTAAACGAAAAATTTTTCTTCTATATTTTCAACTTCTTTTTTCGCGTAGAATCACCCCCTTTCCGCTTGTACCACCAGTTATCAACCACCCTGTATATTATATTTGGCCCGATCATCGTACTAAAGGCTATGCACGTAACATTTATGTTTGGTCCGATCATCTACTACGGGCTATGGCCGTAGTTGCAGGCTATCAAGCTTATTTATCGCACGCATTTCATCTTGAAATTTATACTTCCGGATCCTTACTTCCGAGGTTCTACAATCCTTCGAAGAAAGATCATCTATGAATGTAGGAATGTTTATTATAAATTAACAGAAAAGACAGTATGATAAACACAATATTGTAACACTCTCACAAAATTGAATATAATATCTCACTTCACGAATTCGCTTAACACTATTTCTACGTCACAGCAACACGATGAACTTCTCTCGTCCACGATTAATTCAACTCTGGCCGCATTACCACGCTCACTTTTGCCGTAACAAACCTTGGTAACGCTCACAACACTCCTTGACAACATTAACATATCTTAACAACGTTTATAAACAATCAGCCACGTCTTTCGCTAACGTCACACCATCCCACAACTTCGGCCATTCTGACAAACACATCTGCCCTCAGATGTACCCAATAATACTAATTACACTTGCGCTTCTGATTTCTTGCTATTCTGCATCGATTAACAACCTCAATGGATAACGATTCCTTCGTTGTCTTCAAAATCGTCACCTACTTCTTAAGCTTTGCAAACTCGATCACCCAAACCGCTTCGGCCTTCCTGTACTAACACCTCTTCTACTATATTCCGACTAAGCGCATCCACATGACGCATCGCCGTACCTGGTCTATGCTCGATCTTATAATTAAATTGCTCAATCTTTCTTTTAATATTTTCTATCGTTTCTGCAGCTTTTCGCAACTGCTCCTTCAAAGTATTTGTACTGTGTTCAAATTGCTTTTTCCTATCTTCTATCAACGTATTCTTTTTCTCCAAATCTTTCGTCGCACGTTCTATTTCTGTCCGCAAACTTTTCTCTGATTCTTTATGAACCGCGCTTTCTTGTCGATTTTCTTTCAATTTTGATTGCAATTCAGTTTTTTGATTTATACATTACTCCATGATTATTCTTTTCTCTTGCACCTCATTGTCAAGATTATTTCTACTTCCCTCCCAATTTTTATTGCGACTCTGTAAGTCTTCGATTTGCTGCGTTTCTTGAGCAATAGCATTTGAGACTTCATTGCGTAGACGTGTCATTTCTTCTTCGGTTTCGAATGATTTTATGCTAACACGTCTAGCTGACACGTTCTCTTTCTTCCAGCAACAGCTTTTCGATATCCTTGATCTTATTTTCATCTACAGTATTTATCACAAATTGCTCTCTTCTTTCATTCTGAATATCATCCTTGTTAACCGATTCTTCCTCGAAACGAAACCAGAGATCTTCACACTTCCTCTTCTCTTCCTCCAATTGTAAAGCTAGTGCATTTTTCTCTTCGAGTAATTTTGAAAACGCAACCTCCGCGTCGGTAACGGTTTTTTGCATTTTCTCGCCATACTGCTCATATTCTTTTACTACTGAAATAAGCGACTGTTCTGCCTGATCTTCTTGATTTGCGGCTTTCGTAATTCGTTCACGTTCTAAATCTCGTTCTTTCCAGAGAATCTCGATTTCCTGTTTTCTTCGTTCTGCTGACAATCTCCGTCGGTTTTGGTATACTGGTGCATCATCTTCAAGTATGATTTTCACACGTACACCTGTGTCCCTCGTCTTCGTCACTGTATATTCACTAATTAAATTCTTAATATCGTCTCTAATTTTCCTATCTACAATATGGTCCAATTCAACCTTATCTCGATCGTCTTGTTCACTACATACGTCTATATTTAATACTTCATTCCATTCACTATCTTCGACAGCACACTGGTTCACACGTTGTTCCTTTTTAATTTGTATAAACTTAACTTGTTTATTTTTCACTCTTATTTCCATTTGCTCAGTTAATTCAATACCTAATAATACATCATGTTCTAGGTAGTTATCTCGAACTACGTCAAAGTCTAAAGTTGCCTTCAAACCCTCAATCATTATTTCCGTTTTGAATCGTCCCATGGTATGGACGTTCACGGCTCCTATACTATCGAATTTAATTATTCTGTTCTCAAGTTGAGGTGCTCCTAAACGCAAATACATACTCATTCTTACTAAATTTAGATCACTACCTGTGTCTATCTTTGCCACTGCATTCTTGTCCATAGTCTTAATTTCCTTTATTTTCATTCCGCCACCCATCACAACGCGTCTTAACCTTAAGTATGTCGGGTTATCATTAGGATTTAAGGCGCGTAATGATTCTTCGTTTGAATTAGCCATTGTTTTACGAAACAGAGAATATATTTACGCGAATAAACAAGATTTTACAAAC